GCTAATAAGCACAGTGCCTTTGTGGAAAATCCAAAGGGAAAATTCTTTGTAATGGAGATTTTTATTCTTCTATTAAAGACTATGGCAGCATTGGGTAAATTCTGACTGTAATGCATGCAGGTGTAGGCACTCAGGTTTGGTTTCCTGAAGTAGAGCTTTTGTGTGTGATTTAAAAAAAAAAAAAAAATCTGCGGGCACACAACCTCCCAGGTCTCTGTGTCTATCTGTAGGTGAGGTCACGTGCAAAAGCAACAAATCAGTGGATGCCTCTACTCAAGCTGATTCAAAAATATAAATACCCAAGCTGCTCCTGAACAATAACTCTTGCCTACTAAACCACGGAATATTTGAAAAATACGTGAAAATCAAAACTGGAATTAGGACAGCAACCGACACTTTAGAGAGACTCTAGGTACCAAAGTCAAACCGTGGTTCTAACAGCAGCATTAACGTGGGCCAATTACATAAAGCCATTTTGAAAGGCTGTTTTTCACCATGTTTCTTCAGTTCTTCAGTCTGCAGTGATGACCAACATCAGATACTATTAAGAAGTCTTCAAGCGTGTAAAATAATATGATTTCACAATGATTACATATTCACTCTACAGCTGGCTGAAGTTTTTACATCTCCATTTGTCATTGACGATTGTGTCCAATTAAATGATTAGCTTTTAAAAACTGCTGCACATTATGAGAGTGAACTTGTGTTCCATCGCACTGAGTGATGCAGAAACAAACTCATTACAGCATGTAATTCACCCATATTAAATAACAAACAGATGGCCGCTGTAAATGAGAGCTCCTTTTCCTCTTCAAAAGTGCCAGGAAAAAGGTGTTTTTATTTATCTTTGTTTCCAGCTTCTTTCTGCTTTCTTGACAAGTGGGCAGCTGGTTGCTGAGGTTTTCAATTGGTGCAGAAGAATGAAAAGCCTGTTTCCATTAATTTCCCCATAAAATAAGTCTTTGAATCATTTCTGTTATAAATGCAAGTGCAGTAGCAAGCTGCTGCTTGATTAATTCACTTATTATGAAGATTTCATCTTTTATAAGAGGGCCTGCAGGTAATTTATCTTGTTTAGTAAGATTAGAAAAATGTAATTATCTTGATACCTTTGGACCCCTCTCATTTTAATTGTGTTCCCATAAATTTCAAACATAAAGATGGGAATTTTTTTGTGCACAAATGTTCCAACATGTGGTCAAAAAATGTGCTGTAAGATCTGCATAAAAATTTATCAAGTAAAATACATTAGGACTGTACTCTTACAGGAATGCATACAAATAAAGCTAGCACACAATTATGCTGGTGTGTACAAACAAATCTCTGCCTTCCTGGTTCCCTAGTCATCTAACAGCTGGGGTGAGGTAAAAGGTTTGGGATTTGTTAAAAAGACTTTTTTTTTTCTTATCAAGCATAAATGTCTCTAGGGAAATGAAGAAATCAGTCTTATTTACACTAATAAAATTAAAATTGTGTCTGTCTTCAAATGTTCTAAACGCAAATGAATTGACTACTGAGTGTATATTTCATGTACTCTTTCCATCACTTTCATTACATTTCTTAACATCTTTGGGAATTTGGATACGTCTGTGATTTTATAATGACAATCTAATTTGATTTCCTTTTAAAAACACTAAGACTGTGAAGAGAACTATCCCAATCCATTTCCACATGTAACTTCACATCTTCGGTCTTGTAGGAAACATGATCTCAGAACTTGGCAGAATTATCTCCTTTTTCTCTGATCTTTCCTTCAGTTCTGCTGGAATTGGGGTTCTAAAACCTTTAATTTCATTCTATTAATAGTATTAAATGTGCCTTTTTTGGATTTTAAAATATATCATGGTTATCTACTTAGTTACTTCTTATTACCATAAGTGGATATTTCTGTCAGCCTGGACTTACTGTCCTGGAAGAAGGAAACCAAAAATATTATATTATACAGAGTTGTCTAGTCTTTTTCTATGGCTTTAGACAGGAAAGCATTTCATCCTTTGTGGTCTGCAGAATGGCGATAAACAGGTCAAGTAACGTTCTGTTAAATTCTGTACGGTGTGTGTTCAGTCAGGCAATCAACAAGAAATAATTGGGTTTTGCTATATAAGAAAAACAGACTGTAAAATTAAAAAGATGTATAGTGGGATCTCTATGATGCTTCCCCACTTGTAAAATGTAACATACATTTCAATCAAATTATACAGCTTGTAAAAGTGAACTAAAATAATGTAATAGAAAAACATGTTATTGGTACAAACTGGTTGCATGTTTGTATGTTCATCTTTCACCTTTCTGATTTATTCTCTTTGTTTTATGAATATAGTTGCTGCCCCTAAATGTATCTGCCTCTAGGGCTCTGTGCCAAAAAGTTACAGATTGTGAATACTTGTATATTATTGTCTTATCAATTTCATGAACATATACTAAAAATGGATTATGCCTAAGACTCAGTGTTGGGGATGAGGAATCTCCTCTATTTATTAAACATGTGGTTTCCTGCACCTTCTTCTCCACATCTGTTACCTTAGCTGTTAATGCTGTGCTGCTTCTGTCAGCCCAGGAGAGTTTTTGTGAGAAAATAAAGCACTTTGATGAATGAATTAGTTATCTTTTTCACCCTATATTTCTCAAAACTCTACTAAATAATGGGTGTTAAATAAACTTTTATGTTATCTGTTATGGTTATACAATTTATTATTTTTCATAAAATTGATAAGACAAAGGACCTCAGCAGTTTTTAAAGGACAATAGGTCAGGCTAATCTAGCTACAATATTTCATTAGCCTGCTATAATAATAATGGGAGGAATTGTAATTTTAGTAAGTGTTAATAAATAAAATTTTTTTTAAGATTTTATTTATCTGTCAGAGAGAGAGAGAGAGAAATTCAGACAGAGAGAGAAGTAGGCTCCTTGCTGAGCAGGGAACCCGATGTGGAACTTGATTCCCAGGGCCTTGAGAACGTGATCTGAGCTGAAGGCAGGTGCTCAACCGACTGAGCCACCCAGGTGTCCCCTTATCTTATTTTGATAGTTGGTAGAGATGAAGTGGTATCTTAGCATTTTCCTCTAATTTGTACTCTCCAAATTGGGGCCCATACATGTCTCCTCTTCATCAGTCTGTCTTCTTAACATCATTACCTAATGTAAGTTAATACCCTCTTTATGGCTTTGTTTAGTAATTTCTATGAAGGCAGCTAGGATATTTCTCAAGACTTTCAGAACTTCTTTTGAATGAGATAGAAATAAGTAAAGGGACCCTCTTGAGAGTCCCTCTTACTTTGGAGCAGGAAACTCTGAGAAAGAAAAAAAAAAAAAAGGCAGTGATTCGTTACCTAACTGCAAACGTTATTCTGACCCTGTTCTATCCTAGGGTTACTGCACAAAATGAAGGATAATTTTAAGAAGAATGGAGAAGAAAGTTATATCGCTAAGGAAAGATTTTGAAAAAGCTAACCCATTGGCTCAGGGATATTTCTGATATTTCAATGAGATAAGATCTAAATCTCAAACTGCAATTACATATAAAATCTTGGTTTTGAATTTGAGCTAATGAGCTTGGAGTAGTTGCTTTCAGAATTAAAAACAAAAACAAACAAACAAAAAAAAACACAGAAAAGAGCAAGCAGAGAAGAAAAACAAAACAATGACAGAACTCCTGGGGAAGATGGCAGAATAGGAGAACCCTCAGCTCATCTTCTCCCATGGATACAACTAGATAACACCTACATCTAGGTACACTAATGTGTACCTAGTGTAAATAATCCAGAAAATGACCCAAAGACGAGCAGAACAGACTTTCCACAACTAAATGTAGAGAAGAGGCCCCATTGAAGAGGGTAGGAAGAAAGGAGATGGGGTCAGGAGCCAAATGGGCTCATGGAACTGTCCATGAGGGAACTGTCCATGGAGGGAGAGAGAGACATGGTGGGCACACAGAGAGGAGAGGAATAAGCTCTATTCTAGGAACCCCAGGCACAGAGACCCACACTGAGAAGATGAATCCCCACAACTCTTGGCTTTGAAAACAAGAGGGACCCAACTTTGCTACTTCTTACAATCAGTGGAACTTAACACCTGGAATGTTAAAAATCAGTGAACTTAGCTCTGGGAGAGCAGGGAGGGAAAGATGAAAAACTGAGTCCCCACCTTTAAAAATATATCAGAATCGGAGGGGGAGACGAACCATGAGAGACTATGGACTCTGAGAAACAAACTGAGGGTTCTAGAGGGGAGGGGGGTGGGGGGATGGGTTAGCCTGGTGATGGGTATTAAAGAGGGCACGTTCTGCATGGAGCACTGGGTGTTATACGCAAACAATGAATCATGGAACACTGCATCAAAAACCAATGATGTAATGTATGGTGATTAACATAACATAATAAAATAAAATTTAAAAAAATATATCAGAACAAACTGCACTGCAGAGATGCAGCATCGAAGCAGCAGTGTGAAAAACAGCTGGAGTATACAGGAAAGAAATTTATTTACTAACCTCAGAGTTTGTGCCAAATGGGCAGAGATCTTTGGGAAACTTCTCCCAGAACCAAAGAGCTAGCAGGTGCCATTTCCTTCCCTCGTCAGCAGCCCCCTCCAGCCTAGATACACGGACCCCTGGGGGAAACAGCACGGCCCCAGCACTCTCCACCCAACGTGCTAACAGCACACCCTGCCCCTGCATGCTTCAGCAGATCCACCCCTCGATCTGGTCTGGACAAGAGTTTTCCAAGTGGCTGCAGGGCCCACTCCCACAGCAAAAAGTGAAGACATTGCTGGCACCACATACCACTGCCATGCCCTTCTGCAGGTTCCTACCCCTCCAACCCAGCCAGCACATGCAGAAATTTTCCCAGACAGATGCAAGTCCCTTCCTGCAGTGGACCAGGGTAGACCTTGCTGACACCACATACCCCACCCCATGTTCTCCTGAGGACCTGCCCCTTTGAGTACATTCTTAGCCAGAGCCCATCCACGGTGGTGCCACAAACCTGGCAGTATTCAGGCAGTTCTGATAGGGGCCAGCACTACTCCAAACAGTGTCCTGACCTGGAGAGAGAAGAAGATGATCACACATACCAGACAGATGGCAGCCCCAGCTGTGGGCTAGGGGCAGACATCTGCTCTGACACAGGTCCTATCCACCAAGCAAAGTTTCTCAGGGGACAACACAAGGATAGGGTCCTGCAGTTTGGTGCTACTGCATCTCTGGCTAAGGCCTCGTCGGACTCACTGTAAGCCCAAGGTGGCCCCAGAATGGCCCACTAACAACACAGGGACCAAATCCTGCCCATAACAGGCAAAGAGAGCCATTTCAGATGACCAGACTGAAGCCAAACATGGCTCCACCACAACAGCAGGGTGCATGCAACACACACAAGAGATACCACAAAGCACCAGGATCCAGTGAACAGGGGGCATTGCACTGAGGGCACTATAGGACCTCTTCTTCATAAGGCCACTATTTCTTTTTTTTTTTTAATAAGATTTTTTTTTTTAATTTTTATTTATTTGTCAGAGAGAGAGCAAGCAAGCACAAGCACGGGGAGTGGCAAGCAGGCTCCCTGCTGAGCAAGGAGCTCGATGCGGGACTCAATCCCAGGACCCTGGGATCATGACTTGAGCCAAAGGTAGACGCTTAACCGACTGAGCCACCCAGGCGTCCCAGGCCACTACTTTCAAGAGCAGGAGATATAGCTAACTTTCTTGACACAGAGAATTAGACAAAATGAGGAGACAGAGGAGTAGGTCCCAAATGGAAGAATAGGACAAAATCACAACAAGAGAGCTAAATGAAATGGAGATATGTAATATGCCTAACAGAGAATACAAAGTAATAATCATAAAGAAACTCACTGGACTTTAAAAAAGAATGGAAGACCTCAGTGACACTCTCAACAAAGAGAAAGAAAATATAAGAGAAGAAACAATCAGAGATAAAGAACACAACAAATGAAATTAAAAAGACACCAGAAGAAATAAGTAGTAGATTAGAAGAAGCAGAAGAACAGATCAGCAACTTAGAAGATATAGTCAGTGGAAAGCAATCAAAATGAACAGGAGAGAGAAAAATAATAATAATAATAAATGAAAACAGACTAAGGGAACTCAGCAAAACCATCAAGTGTAATAACATTTGCATTATATGGATCCCAGAAGGAGAAGAGAGAAATAGGGGACAGAAAATTTATTTGAAGAAATAGTAGCAGAAAACTCTCCCAATTTGGGGAAGGAAATTATAAGTTCAGATTCAGGAGACAGTCTCCCTCCAAAATCAACCCAAGGTGGTCCACATTATGACAGATATTAATTAAAATGGCAAAGGCTAGTGATAAAGGAGAATTTTTAAGCAGAAGATAAAAGAACATTACAAACAAGGGAAACCCCATAAGTCCCCAGCTGAAACTTTGCAGGCCAGAAGAAAGTGGCATGATACATGCAAAGTGCTACAACAAACAAACAAACAAAACCCTGCAACCAAGAATACTCTGTCATTCAAAGTAGAGGGAGGGATAAAAAGTTTTCCAGACAAAAGTGAAAGGAGTTCATTACACTTAACTAGCCCTACAAGATATGTTAAAGGGACTCTTTGAATAAAAAGGAAAGACCATAAGCAGAAGTAAGTAAGAAAAGTAAGAAGCACAAAAGTTGTAAAATTAAGTTTATCTATAAAAATCAGTCAAGGGACTCACAAAATAAAAGGATGTAAAATATGACACTATATACCTAAAACCTGGGGGGGGAGAGGAACAAAAATTTAGTGCTTTTAGAATGAGTTCAACCTTAAGTGACCTTCAACTTAATATAGCCTATTATATGCATGTTATTTATAAACTGGATGGAAACCACAAATCAAACAAACAGTAATAGGTATGCAAAAAATAAAGAGAAAGAATACAAGAATAGCACTAAAAAAAGGCAGCAAACAATGAGAGTAAAGATCAAGAGAAGAACTGAGGAGAACTACAAAGACAACCACAAAACAAGTAACAAAACAGCAGTAAGTACATACCTATCAATTATTACTTTGAAGATAAACTGACTAAACTTGTCAGTCAAGACACAGGGTGATGGAATGGATAAAAAAGCAAGACCCATCTATATGCTGCCTACAGGAAACTAATTTCAGACCTCAAGACAAATGCAGATGCAAAGTGAAAATAATGAAAAGCACTTATCATGCAAATGACAGTGAAAAGAAGATTGGGGCAGCAATACTTATATCAGACAGAAGAGACTTTAAGACAAACTGTAACAGGTGACAAAGAAGAACAATGTATAATTATGAAGGGAACAATAACAACAAGAAGATATAACAATTATAAATATTGATGCACCCAACATGAGTATCCAAATACATAAAGCAGCTAATAACAAATATAAAGAAACCAATCGATAGTAATACAATCATACTAGAGGACTTTAACACCTCACTTAGATCAATGGATAGATCAACCAAACAGAAAGTCATCAAGGGAACAGCAGCTTTGAATGACATATTTGACTGGACGGATCTAACAGATTTATTTGGAATATTCCATCCTAAAACAGCAGAATACATATCATTTTCATATGGACATGGATCATTCTCAAGAATAGATCACAGGGTAGGCCACAAAATATGTCTCAAAAATTCAAAAAGATCATACCATGCAACATTTCTGATCACAACTTTATGAAAATAGAAATCAACTGCAAGAAAAAATCTGAAAAGAATACATGGAAGTTAAATAACTTGCTGCTAAACAATGGGTCAACCAAGATATCAAAGATGAAATTTAAAAAAGATACATGGAGACAAAAGAAAATGGAAACACAATGGTCTAAAACCTTTGGGATATAGGAAAAGCTGTTGTAAGAAGAAAGTTTACAGTAATACAAGCCTACCTCAAGAAGCAAGACAATCTCAAATAAACAACCTAACCTTACACCTGAAGGAGCTAGAAAAAGAACAAACAACCCAAAACCCACAGAAGAAAGGAAATAATAAAGAATAGGGCAGAAATAAAATGAAATAGAAACCAAAAACAAAACCAAAAAAAAAAAAAAAAAACACAAAAAAACCTCAAAAACAAAACAAAACCCAATAGAACAGACCAATGAAACCAGGAGTTGGTTCTATGAAAGATCAACAAAATTGATAAACCTTTAATCAGATTTATAAGAAAAGAAAGAAAATCAGAAATAAAAGAGGAGAAATAACAACCAACACCACAGAAATACAAACAATTGTAAGAGAATATTATCAAAAGTTATATGCCAACAAATTAGACAACCTAGAAGAAATGGATCAATTCCTAGAAATACATAACCTCCCAAAACTGAAGCAGGAAGAAAGGGAAAATTTGAACGGACTGATTACTAGCAATGAAATTGAATCAGTAATCAAAAAACTCCCAACAAACAAAAGTCCAGGACCAGATGGCGTCACAGGTAAATTCTACCAAACATTTAAAGAAGAGTTAATACCTAACTTCTCCAACTGTTCCAAAAAATTAATAAAAATAGAAGAGGAAAGAAAGCTTCCAAATTCATACTATGAGGCCAGCATTGCCTTGATACCAAAATCAGATAAAGACACTACCAACAACAACAACACAACAACAAACAAAAACCTGCAGGCCAGTATCTCTGATGAACATAGATGAAAAATCCTCAACAAACAATTAGCAAATCTAATCCAATAATACATTAAAATCATTCACCATGATCAAGTGGGCCTTATTCCCAGGATGCAAGAGTGGTTCAATATTCACAAACCAATGAATGTGATACATCACATGAATAAGAAAAAGGATCAAAACCATGCAATCATTTCAATAGAGGCAAAAAAAAAATTAAGAAAGAACAACATCCATTCACAATAAAAACCCTCAACAAAGTATGTTTAGTGGGAACTTAATTCAACAACAAAAAAGACCATTTATGAAAGAAACACAGCTAACATTACACTCAACGGTGAAAAACAGAGCTTTTCCTCAAAGATTAGGAACAAGACAAGGATGTCCACTCTCACCACTTTTCTTCAATACAATACTGGAAGTCCTAGCCATAGCAATCAGACAAGAAATAAAGGGCATCCAAATTGGTAAGGAAGAAGTAAAACTTTCATTATTTGCAGATGACATGATATTATATATAGAAAACCCTAAAACTCCCCCCCAAAAAAACTACTAGAAATGATAAATGAATTCAGTAAGGTCCCGGGATACAAAATCAATATCCAGAAATCTGTTTCATTTCTATACTCTATAAAGAACAGAATGAGAAATTTAGAAAATAGTACCATTTACAATTGTACAAAAAATAAAATACTTAGGCATAAACTTAACCAAGGAGGTGAAAGACCTGTACTTTGAAAACTATAAAACACTGATGAAAGAAATTGAAGATGACACAAACAAATGGAAAGACATTCCACACTCATGGAGTGAGAAAACAATTATTGTTAAGATGTCTATACTACCCAAAGCAATCTCCATATTTAATGCAATCTAACAACATTTTTCACAGAAATAGAATAACCCCAGAATGTATATAGAACCACAATAGACCCCAAAAAGCCAAAACAACCTTGAAAAAGAACAAAACTAGAGGTAACACAATCCCAGATTTCAGGATACACTACAAAGTGGTAGTAATCAAAACAGTATGTTACTGGCACAAATGTTAACATAGATCAACAGAACAGAATAAAGAGCCCAGAAATAAACCCATGATTATACAGTCAATTACTCTTCCACAGAGGATGCAAGGATATGCAATGGGAAAAAGACAGTCTTTTCAACAAATGCTTCTGGGACAACTGGACAACTATTTTCAAAAGAATAAAACTTGACAACTTTCTTACACCATACACAAAAATAAACTCAACATGGATTAAACACCTAAATGGGAGACCTGAAGCCATAAAAATCCTACAACAGAACACAGGCGGTAGTTTCTGTGACATTGGGCACAGCAACATTTTTCTAGATAGGTCTCCCGAGGCAAGGGAAGCAAAAGCAAAAATAAACTATTGAGACCACATAAAAATAAAAAGCTTCTGC